TCTGTCCTCTAGTGAAGCTATATTTTGCTCATTTCAAAGTGTAGATTTCGATGGAGAAGAACGAGCAAGAAACTCCGTGGTTACCCTTTTTAATTAATTTCATAATTTTCAGTCATTTCGCGATCTGCCAGTTTACAACTCTGCCCACGACATAAGCAATGCAAGTTGTTATCAGTAAGTTTATTAAGGTGACGTATGTAAGTAGGCAGGTCTAATAATGAACAGTGACGTCACAGATAAGCTCTGCGATGCCGTCATGTAAATGACTCGGCGATATTATTGTCGGTCAGGTGTTAGCAACATCGGTAGTGTAATATTTTATTTTTGAATCAAATATAATATATAGAGTAATGATGATGATAGCATCAATACGGAAGTATGATTCTGATGTCATTGTTTCTATAGAAATTATATGTATACCTACTTATTTTTAACTAGCGAGCGTTCCGCCTCAACGTCGCACGCATGCAATGCTGATACTAAATGTCTCCACTATTTAACGGATGTTATTATACATATAAACCTTCCTCTTCAATCACTCTATTTATTAAAAAACCGCATCAAAATCCATTGCGTAGTTTTAAAGATTTAAGCGTACATAGGGATATAGGGACAGAGAAAGCGACTTTGTTTTATACTATGTATGTAGTGATGATGATATTGACTTTCTATACAAATTTTTAACTACTAAACGGATTTTAATTATATTTGCTATTTGCTACGAAATGTATCAACGTGTAAAAACCTTCAATATTATCAAAACAGAGTTAGGAGAGTCAAGAAAATACAATTTTAGGGTTGCGTACAAACTAAAGTAACAATTACTCAATTAAATATTTTTTTCAAAGTTAAGTAATAGGTATATGAAAACAAGGTTTAACTAGTGCTTGACTGCGATCCAACCTGATGGTAAGCAGGGATGCAATCTTTGATGGTAAGGCGCACTAGTTTATTAAGAACCCATTCAGTCTAGCCTTGATGACATCGATATCATATTTTATTTATTCAATTCAAGTTCTATATGTATAGTCGATTTTCAGTGTACCTATATGTCCTCAAAACTCGTGAATAATCTTCGCAGATTACGCAGAATCTATACAGATGTTGAAATAAAACAAAGAAAACAAGGTTAGCAGCGTTTGTTTTTTTATTAAAAATTTTCATAGGGCAACACATTTTACATAAAAATTAGTTACAAAACTTAAAAACTATATTGCTAACATTAATTTTGACAGAAAGATGAAATAATACCCAGTAAACACTGTGTTGGAAGACAGACAGCAGCTATACCTTGGAAAGGAAGCTTGATATGTCTAAATATTGATATTTATATAATAACTATCGTTACAAATATAATTAAATTATAATAATAACTAAAGTAACAGGTTGTTGCTCGATACATCTCATGACATGACTAAGAGCCCCGGTGTAAGTTAATTATTCGAGCAACTTTGTGGAGACTTACAAAATAGTATTTTTTTAAACGATGCTCTCCTGTGTCTAGGTTGCGTTTAGTTATAAACATACAATTTCACATGCACAACACAGCCAGAATCAAAATCACAATTTGAGTGTTCAAGCTATCTATCAGTGAAATAATTTTTGAATTCCGTCCAGCCGTTCTAAAGATAACCCCCTACACACAAACTTATCAAATTCAAAATATTACTTCTTTATAATATTAGTACCTATAGACTACTTAATTTTCATTTTTTAGTTATAACACAAAAAAGATAGACAGTGGTAGAAAGAGATGGTTGGTTGTATCTATCTCACTCTGGTATTATTTCACCCTTCTGTCCTAATAGTACTAAATAAATATTATTAAAACGAAGCATTTTAGAAGAGAAACAATCAGGAAATCACAGCCTCTTCCTTACACAATATTAGCCGATTCTGTCGTATAATAACTTTACTATCGCTGTCTCTTACTAACAGCCAACGAAAGAGAGAGACGCCAATAATATTTATATTAATTTAGTAAAAGACTGGTAAGATTTTTTTTTTAGTTTCTGTACAAGAAAATCGTTGAATTTATTTTCAATTTCAATTTATTAATAAGCTTACGCATAATTTGTTTTTTTATTCAGTTTGTTTTTTGGTAACGACTATATACAAAATCGAAGACAAATTTTATTTTTTATACAAATAAATACCTACTTTTCTCTCTATTTATTTAAATAGTCAAGTGTTATATGGTTAAATAAAATCTCCCCATTTGGTAGTAAAATTTTCGAGACTGGTAACACTGATCTATTTTTATTGATACTGTCATTCGGACGTTCGGTGAGTTACGAAAATGACCTTTATTGACAATGATGTGTTTTTTATCTAATACGGTAGTTTCCAACTAGTCAAATTCAATAATTTTATCCAAATGTCAAAAACGATACTTTTCTATGAAATATGTATGAAACATGTATGAAGGAGGGTTCATAAATTACGTTAGGTGTTTTTTTTTTGAAATTTCAACCCTCTCCCGCCATACCTAATCTCAGGTGAGATTTTTTATTTAAAATGTGAGTTTTTTTTACTAAACGCGTTAGATCCAAACTAATATTATAAATGCGAAAGTAACTCTGTCTATGTCTCTGTGTCTGTCGGTCTGTCTTTACTTCACGCCTAAACTACTGAACCGATTTCAGTGAAATTTGGTACAGACATAGCTTGGAACTCGAGAAAGGACATAGAATAATTTTTAAACCAAAAATCTGCTATTTAATCAAACGGTTAGTGTCTTAGATCGTTGATTAAATGGCTAATTACGCTAGTTGGCTGCGATATCTACACTTTGGAGTGAAAAATAAAGTACTATTTATAAAAGTTAGCTTGCACCGTATATGTTAATATTACTTACTTAATGTGCCACAATTGTTGATAGATACACTTTACATTTTAATTTCGACCTTATCATCTATAAAGTAGAACACTAATGCCATATAAAAAATACTTAACAAGCATAATTAAGTTAGACTAAAGTGTACTTTATTTCTATGTTATTAGAGTTGATATTGAGTGTCATTTTGAATTATAACTAAAAAGTACTTCTAGTGTATAAGTATGGGAAAATGAGCCTTATCACACTAGAATTAAAGTAGCTTAATTGTACAGAATTAGTTACAAAACAAAATGAATCATATTGGTTAAAACATAAGACACTTTTTGGCTAAACATTAGTATATATTCGCTGATTCACGCCTGTCTCAAACACACTGATCGTCATACTTTTCCATCCTTCATCATCATCAGCGTATAAGTGCCCACTGCTGAGCAAAGGCCTCTTCTCACACGGAGAAGGTTTGAACATTAACCACCACGCTTGCTCAAGGCCGGTTTCAAACTTATACCTAATTAGAAACTACAAGTCCAGGTTTCCTCACGATGTTTTCCTTCACCGTATGTCAGTGGTGTCTAAATAATCATAGAAAGTACATATAACTCGGAAAACGTCACATTGGTACATACCAGGTTTCGAACCCACACCCTCATGCTCATGCATGATGCGGCAAACGAGAAGACGGATTACCTGATGGTAAGCAATCAGCGCCGCCCATGAAACACAAAAGGAGTTACGAGTGCTAATCTCAGTTGGCCATTTGAGAATTTTTTGAGGGTGGGATTTCTTTCTTTGATTTTCTCCTGTGTCGTGGATGCGTTTACAAACATATAATTTGACATACACATCACACCCAGACCCGGAACAACAATCTGTGGATCACACAAAGAGTTGTTCCGAGCGGGAATCGAATCCGCAACACGGTAAGGAAACGCGTTGGTTTTTTATTGTAAAAGGAACAAATTAAAAGATTTTATTTACAACTTGTTAAGACTTGTAATTCATATTGCTTCTTTACATTTCTTTTATTTTGTACACTTCTGGTTTTTGCTTCAATAAAAAAACATTGCGTGATATTTGTCAAGAACCTCCCATCTCCTGACATGAGATAGAACTCCCCCTTAATCATCTTACAAAACTTATGGAGCCCCCTTACCTAATTAACTATAAACTAAAATAAAAATAGTAACGTCATAACTTTAATTTTAAAAAAACCTTAAACAATACAATCATTTAATAACTTAATAAAAATACAAATATTGTCTTTCTCTCTTCCTCATGCACAAACCACACTATCTCTGTCTCTGTCTTTCTAATGTAACTTCTATGTGTACGAGTGAGATGGAGAATTTTCTATGTATATTTTGTCTTTGTCTGTAGAATGTAGCTTATAATTATTCTAATAATACTTCCCTTGTCAGCCTGTTGTATTGATTGGACAATCATTTGTGAGAGTAATTCTGTTTAAAATGTATCAAATCATCAGCCTATAAGTGCCCACTGCTGAGCAAAGGCCTCTTCTCATAAGGAGAAGGTTTGAGCATTAACCACCACGCTTGCTCAAGGCCGGTTAGCGATTTCAAACTTATAATTAGAAATTATAAGTCCAGGTTTCCTCACGATGTTTATCTTCACCGTATGTCAGTGGTGTCTAAATACACTTGGACAGTACTTGCCAGGTTCCGAACCCATGCTGAGAAGCGCTTTTACCTCCGTGCCAGACTTTTGTGTATACTCAAGAAGGTGTACAATCCAGAGACGTTTACGGACTAACAGGCGAGTGCCTTAACCTCAGGGTCACCACGTCGTCTTCTCATGTTTAAGGTTTTGAAACCTGGCAAGTACCAATGTGACATTTTCCGATTTACATGTACTTTCTATGATTATTTAGACACCACTGACAACGGAAACCTGGACTATTTCTATATTTATATTAACAAAAATCAATGTCACTTTTCTTTGTAATGTTATAACTCAACAAAATCTAAAAATTGAAAATTTTAAAAAATCTTGAAATTGTGTTGAATTGACATCCACTCGGTCAAAGCTGCGGGCGACCGCTAGTAAATTCTAATTATAAGTTTTAAATCGCCAATTCTTGGCCTTGAGCAAGCGTTGTAGTTAATGCTCAAAACGTTCTAAACGCCTTTGCTCAGCAGTGGGCACTTATAGGCTGATTGATACAGTTGTATAGATGTATAAGATGTCTAGAATGTGTTGAGATTGTCTCTGTGTGTGTTGGCAACTAGATCGTCAATAGTCAGCAACATATTGAATGAGAGAAACATGGCGGCCGCAGACAGAAGGTGCCAGGCGTCGTGCGAATCGTAGAGTTGGAGTATTGAGCATTCTGCGTTGTGGCGCCGGGACTGGGCCGGAGTTTCCTGGACAATGAAACAATGAATTTATTTTTGCAAATACGCCATAAAACGGCACTTTTAAGCAGGCATATCTATCTGACTACTCTGAGAAGAAATGCCGAAACAAACTCAGAGGTCAGTCTCTTTTCAAGTCCAGACAATGTAAAATAACATAATGTGAGAGAATCGTGCAAGTTCATTCTGTAGTGGTCTTTTGATGAAAGAACCACACCAGTTTAAGTGGACCCGTTCTGAAGACAGGCACGCAAGTGTCAGTTTGCAACCAGTATAACACACAATTGTATTTTGTGAGAAATATTCTTATAACTACTTATACTAGGTACCTTAACGCTGCTCGGCTCTTATGGATCATAGCGTGATGTTTGAAAGTCTTTTATTGAGGGACGAAAATCGTTCAATTCCTTCTTTGGGCCAGAGTGAGCCGAATCACACCCCAATTAATGATATTATAAGTAAAAAGGTGTAGATAGGTTACAAGCGCTCAGCAAGTGATACATTAAAATGTGGCTAACTAGCCAAACTTTTTCATATTTGTCTCTTTTTCACTCGCGATTATTGAATCATGCCATCTCACTTTGACGTGTAACATACGATTTATTCATGTGTGCATGAATGTGCCATCATTGCCAATCAACAAAACCCTAACCCTTAAAAGGTCGACAATACATCTTTGACTTGCGGTGTCCATGGAGAGCTCCGATTGCTTACCATCAGGATATCCAATATCCATCAGCATTTTCGCAATCTTATCTCATAAAAAAATACTTTACCTTAACAAATCTACCAAAAAAGCTACGTGAACTAACCATCAATTTATAGCCTTTAACTTTTTGAGAGGGAAAAATCTAATGACTTCTTTAAAGAAGAGAGAGAGAGTGTCATACTCTTACTGACTAAAACTCCCTCGTTCCTTCTCCTGCTTAAGGTTCTGGCAGCGGTGACTTATAGAGCTTACCCCTGCTGAACATAAGCTCTATAGGGCCCCGTCTGTGGTGGTCTATTGACTCTTTGAGGCGCGCGCGGACCAGTAGATACTGGATCTACTGGTTCGAATTGAACATAATTTTCTGTTGTGTTGGATAGTCCATTTATAGAGGAAAGCTATAAGCTTATAAAACATTACGCTACGACCAATAGGTGATAACTACATCATTATTCGAAAAAAATGCGCGATTTATTAACTTTGTCAGGGGTAAATCATCAAATGACTTCTCCCGTCCAGGATGAGGCTAGAGGAAGTGTCTGACTCTTACTGACTAAAGTGACAAAACTAGATACTGACCGACCACTTAGTCTTGGAGTCCAAGAACAGATGTAGCGCCGCGAACCATGCAGCATGAGCCAGGATCCCGTAGAGCCACGTGTGGGGGGCAAGTCGCTCCCCCTGGATGAGCTTCATGGCCACGTAGAACATGGTGTATAGGATCGCGTTGCCCATTAGTATCGCCAGCAGTTGGCGAGCAAAATCCTTGTTTTGGACTACCGCGCTGTGGGGTGGCATTTAAGTGGGTGAGATGAGATTGAGGGGTTTTTGTAGTTGTTGGGTGATTTTGTATGCGTGAATGAGATGGTAGGATGTTTCTGTATGTTGTCCTGTGTCGTGGGTGCGTTTACAAACATATAATTTGACATACACATCACACCCAGACCCGGAACAACAATTTGTGTATCACACAAAGAGTTGTTCCGTGAGAGAATTGAACTTGCGACACGTTGTTCAGAAGCCAGTTACCCAGCCACTGCGCTAACCGTGCAGTCAATTCAAGTCAGGAATCGAACCCGCGACACGTTGTACAGAAGCCAGTTACCCAGCCACTGCGCTAACCGTGCAGTCAATTTAAGTCAGGAATCGAACCCGCGACACGTTGTACAGAAGCCAGTTACCAATCCACTGCGCCAACCGTGCAGTCAATTCAAGTCAGGAATCGAATCCGGGACACGTTGTACAGGAGCCAGTTACTCATCCACTACGCCAACTGTACACTCAATTCAAGTCTGGAATCGAACCCGGGACACGTTGTACAGAAGCCAGTAACCCATCCACCGCGCCAACCGTACAGTCAATTCAAGTCAGTTTTTTTTTAATAATGTGCAATGTAATGTATATATTCTCTGTTGGAAATAAAGATCTGTAGTGCGAATGTGTGATTGCGTAGTTTATACCTAGATAGATATACAGTGTGTAAAAAGACACTTAACGAAGCCGTTAACTACGCATACTGCAGTTCTAACTAAATAGCTTTACGCTAAAATTTTCACTGGGAAACGACTTTTATTTTTAGGTATCAAAAAATATAATAATTTTATTGCGCGCAATGTAAAGCAAACGGGCTTCGTGTCATTGTGTGCGTAGGTTCACAGCTTAGCATTAAAACACTGTGATAAGTACGTAGGTCGACTTTTTACTTCGCAACAACAAAACGATTCTGTAAAATAAAAATCCTACTGAGATGCACGATGGTTTTTGTGCGGGTCTGCATTTATTTATTACGTACATTACTGTTTGTAACTTCAAATGCGTAATTTATTTAGAAAAATCGAAAATTCAGGTAATGTTTGTTTGGAAAAAAGTTTTATAATAATAATTAGAATTAGATTGCGCAAAAAATAAATAAAAAAATGCATCTTTGACCTTAAATATCTCGAGAACACGTGGAGTCCCAGCTATGGTCTTAAAGAAAAAAAATGATCCAAATAATGGGTAGAATACGTGGCTTTCGGTTTCGTTAAGTGTCTTTTTACACCCTGTATGTATGTCGGAGATTGAAAAACGGAACGTCAAGCCAACATCGACTTGGGTGTATTCGGAATGTGCGCCGGCAACACTATAGAGCTGGCAACACTGAGGGCTGTCAGCTGTCAGCGAAGTGACCGCCGCCACACTTTGGAACGAGATACGAACCGGGTGGGTGTGCCAGCGTGCGACCGACTTCACCGCGTTCCGAAATAAGAAATCCGTTTTAATCAGGGCAGTGTATGATTATTTTCGATTGATTTAATCCAGATTGGAATCACAATAAAACAGAGAATACGCCAGAAGCCTTATTTTGTTTAATTGAAGATGGAAGAAGACGAACGCCCACGCACCTCCCCTTCATGTATATGTTGTATGTATGTCACAGTACCTGTATATGGCGAAGGCCCAGTTGGCGAGGAAGGCCAGCGCGAGCAGGGCAGCGCGCGCGGCGTGAGCAGGCCTTAGGGCCCGCGCGCGACGGGTACGGACGGCTGACACGCCGCGGGATAACGCCGACCATTCTAACATACCATACAGCCACCATTATAACTTCACTTTATACTATCCCTAGCTTTTGCCCGCGACTTCAATCGCGTGGAATAGTGACTTATTACAGATTTTTGGTATAAAAACTATCCAAACTATGTCTGTACCAAATTTCAAACAAATCGGTTCAATAGTTTAGGCGTAAAGAAAAGACAGACAGACAGAATTACTTTCGCATTTATAATATATGTTTGGACTTTAACAGCGAAATTTATGTTAACCTCGATCCCAAAACTTTCGGATTGATTTACGTAAGTAATTCGTTATTTCATAGTCGATTTGGGGATTGGAGTTTTGGGGGGAGGGGAGGGGGCAAATCTCCAATCCCCAAATCACCAAAATCTATAATTCCCAACACCAAATCTATAATCCTCAAATTTCCAATCATCAAATCCTCAAATCTCTAACCCCCAAAAGGCCAGCTCCACACTGGCAAGATTGCTTACCATCAGGTAGTCCATCTGCTCGTTTACCGAACTATTACATACTAAAAATGCTCACCAAGTTTGAACCTGCCGGCGTAGTATATCTTCAAGGTGAGCACGAAGCAGGTCACCATGTGCAGGATGGTGAACAGCACCGAGAATGGTACGCTCGGGTATAGGATACCGAATAGACCTGCCAGGGAAATATAGCACTTGTGTTTATGAAGATACAGTTATAAATCGCAACGATACACTACCAGATGACCTAACACAGCTTAAAAAACTAATATCTCTAGATCCCTTCTTTATAATTTAAGAATGAAACAATAAATAAAAACTACCAAACTACTGAACGGATTTCAGTAGTTTGGTATTTTTTTAGACTATGATTTTGACTTCTTAACAATTTCACGAGTCTGTAGTAATTTGCTAGAAAAAATATTATGATTAAGTATGCTATTTGACGTAGAAAACATTTTGATGACATATGTTGAAAACTTCTAGAAATCGTACAATGTTAATTACTAGTCCGTAAGAAACAAACACTTTAAGTGTTATTTTAAATCTGTTTTATAATTTTTATATGTATAATATTTAGTCTTGTAGTCATAAACAATATACTTTTTTCATTAGTAATATTAATTGTATTTGTCCCATGTATTAAAAAGTCGAAGACTGATGCCCTGAAACACAGGTTTACATAAACCTAGCTCGGGCAGGTCACTTTAATATCGTAAGTCCTTGTTAATAACAAGTATTTCATAGTTGTGAAAATAATAGTATAAGTTGTAATTACCTTGCATTATATAAATACCTAAAAGTTAACTATTGAAATTACTGTGGCTTATTATAAACAATATTTTGTAGAAAGTTATCAATAAATTTTATTTGTTGAATGAAATCTCAACACCCTTACTTCTAAAAGGTCGACAGTACATTTGTTACTTGCGTTGTCCAAATCTGGCACCGATTGCTTACCATCAGGATATACATAAGCTCGTTGACAGTCTTCTAACAAAAAAAAAAATAACCCCTTTTAAAATCTACCAAAAAAACTACATGACATTACCATCAATTTAAATACCTACACTTTTTTTTGAGATGGTAACACTATCAAATGCCTTCTCCCGCCCAGGGTGAAACCAGAGAGAGTAAATTAGACTCTTACTGACTAAAACCCACACCGTTCCTTCTCCTACTACAGACTAAGGCCACGGTGACTTACTGCTTGCCCCGCAACTCCCTTATAGACCCCATCTGTGGTGGTCTATTGACTCTTCTAAGCAACTCTTGCTCGACTGCAGACCAGCGCTTCCGTTGTCCGGAGATCGTCGCTCGAACTCCAAAGCCCGGAGTGCCTCCTACTTACCGAAGCTTCCGTACTTGGAAAGCACCTGCGTCAGGCGGAAGATGAGGTTTCTCCACCCTTTTTTTGTCAGGGGAAATTATCCAATGACTTTTCCCGCCCAAGGTAAGGCGAGAGAGAGTGTCAGACTCTTACTGACTAAAAACCACCCCTTCCTTATCCTCCTCTGGGCCGAGGTCGCGGTGCCTCATTGCGCTTACCCCGCAACCCCGGCAGGTCTCCCAACCCTGGACTGTCCACTCACCTATGGTCATGACGACGGCGAGGACCATGAAGGTGGAATGCGCGCTGGGCACGATGTCGGAGTGCCGATTCTGGTACAGCTTGACCATCACCAGCACAGCTATCACATACATGAATGAGGAATCTGGAAGGTAACATATATATATTTATATATCAATTTATTTTATGTAGACAATTTCAAGGACATAGAAATTTCGTTAAATATATAGCTAGGGAAGTCGAAGTCAAATCAAAGTCAGAGTCAAGTATGGCAGAGCCATGCTTCGGCACGAATGGGTCGGCTCGACCGGAGTGATACCACGGCCTCACAGAAAACCGACGTGAAGCAACCACAGCGTTGTGTTTCGCCGTGTGATTGAGGTATCGGAGGCCCAATCCTTTCCCCCTATCCCAAAATCCCCAGATCCCCTAATCTTAAGTCCCACAAAAGGTCGGCAACGCACTTGTAGTAACTCCTATGGTATTGCGAGTGTCCATGGGCGGCGCTGATTGCTTACCATCAGGTAATCCGTCTGCTCGTTTGCAGACCTTATTACCTTATAGAGAAAAATCATAATAGGGTAGTTTCCAACTAGTCAAATTCAATACTTTTATCGAAATATCAAAAACTATATTTTTCTATGAAATTTGAATGAAACACTGAGTTATGACGTCATAGTATTTTTGCGTCAAATAGCTTACTTATTTCTTAATAATTAGTTAAAAAAATCTAAAACTTAGTGTATCGATCGATCGATCGATGAATAAAAATATAGTTATTTTTAAATATTTTATTGTATTGTAACGTCGAATTAATTTATTTTTGACCTAGAAAACTACTTAATTAGAATACATACCGAATTGGAAGTTCATCTTGTTGGGACAGAGATGGTAGCAGGCCGAGAGAAGACCTTCCATGACCAGCCCCAGGCCCATGGAGTACAGCAACCCATAGTGCTGCGGGACGCCCATATCCTGTCCACATGGAACGAGCTATACTACACCTTATTTCTAATCAAATACAGTCTCTTTTTACGTGGCAACCTAAGCTACTTTTGTCCGAAAGTAGACCAAGCTGTAGTATACCTTATTTCTAATAGATTACAGTCGCTTTTTCTGTGTAGCCAGTGCTTCTTCTATCCTTAAGTAGACCAAGCTGTAGTAAACTTTATTTCTTACAGAATACAGTCTCTTTTTGTATGGCAACCTACGCTACTTATGTCCGTAAGTAGACCAAGTTTTAGTACATCTTATTTATAACGAAATGCAGTCTCTTTTTTTATGGCAACCTTCTGTCCGTTGGTCGACGAAGCTATACTACACCTTATGTCTAAGGCCATAAGGTATTTTTTTGTGTATAGCAACTAAGGCTACATATGTCCGTCCGTAGTCCGAGCTGTAGTATATCTTATTTATAATATAATACAGTGTCTGTTTTTGTAGCAACCAGTGCTACGTCTGTCCGTAAGTAGACCAAGTTATAGAAAACTTTATGTCTAACTCAATATAGTCGTTTTTTATTGGTAATCAGTGCTACTTTTATCCTTAAGTAGACCAAGCTGTAGTATACCTTATTTCAAACAGAATACAGTCTCTTTTTGTATGGCAACCAGTGCTACTTCTGTCTACAAGAACACCAAGCTGCAATACACCTTATGTATGATGTAATAAGGTCTCTTTTTGTAACAACCCTGAGGTCTGTGAGCCAAGATCTACACATCATCATCATCAGTATCGATTGACATTCCTCATAAGAGAGGTTTGCCATAATCTCGACGCTTGGCAGCTTTGTAGATTACAGTGAAAAAAGTATATGTTTATTAGAGAATGCTTACAATCTGTCTCTTTGTTTAATGTGTTGTCCCTTAATCGGGTATTAGATACCCGCGGGAAGAGCAAGTGAGATTACCGAAGGCCCAATCCCTAAATCCTCAAAAAGGTCGACAACGCACTCGTAACTCCTCCATTATTGCCGGTATACATGGGCGGCGCTGATTGCTTACCATCAGGTAATATAAGTCTGCTCGTGTGCACCTTAAATCTACAGCAATATAGTTGAAAGTAGTTTACCTGCGGCTTGCCCCTATTCTTGATCTGTCGATGCCTGACCTGAGCCATGAAGACCAGTCCCAGGGCCACGTAGCCCACGTTGGAGTACACGTGGTTGAAGTCCGAGAGGAATCCCAGCGGATGGGCGCAGAGGAAGTTGTAGTAGCAGAGGTCCTGGTCACCGGTTTGGAATACCATCTGGAATGAGGAGAAGGGGGGAGGAGCGTATGAAACAATGTTATAATACACTAGCTACTCTCGCGCGGTTTCACCCGCTGCTCAGCTCCGTTTGATCGTAGCGTGATGTTTTATAGCCTATAGCACTCAGGAACATTCGACGATTTTTAATGTAAAGGCTTAAATAGACAAATTACAAAATCTACACTTAATGTTAAAAAGAGATAAAATTTGTAAGTTTGTATGTAGGGGGTAATCTTTGGAACCGCTGGTCGGATTTCCAAAATTCTTTCACTGATAGATAGCTACAATGTTCCTGAGTGCTATAGGCTATAAAACATCACGCTACGATTAGATGAAGCTAGTATTTTTTTTTTATGTAATAGATCGGCAAACGAGCAGACGGATTACCTGATGGTAAGCAATCAGCGCCGCCCATGGACACTCGCAACGGAGGAGTTACGAGTGCGTTGCCGACCTTTTAGGGATTAGGGATTTGGAGATTTAGGAACTGGGGAGGGATTGGGAAGGGGAAGGATTGGGCCTCCGGTAACCTCACTCACACGGCGAAACACAACGCTGTGGTTGTTTCACGCCGGTTTTCTGTGAGGCCGTGGTATCACTCCGGTCGAGCCGACCCATTCGTGCCGAAGCATGGCTCTCCCACACTTAAATATATTATATTTCTGAACGAATCTTCTTTCTTCAAATTAAAAAAAAATTATTATTAAAATCGGTTTTTAGAATTCAAAGTTGTCTAGTTTGTATTAATTAGTTACCTAATTCCCTAAGAGATGGCGCTGCTTATGCAACTTAAGCTGAATTGCAGTTTTAAGATTTACAATAACTTACTTATTGTGCAAGGCGGGAAGCTACGGAACCCTACATTGAGCGTAGCCCAATACGCTTTTTGCCGATTTTTAATAAGCAATTATTTGGACATTGTTTTCTTGACATTGACTAAACAGACAGAACCTTGTGCCGTATTAGCGCCATCTGTTGGCAATAATAAGAGTAGTATGACAGTTGGTGCAGTGGCCGAGCAACTGGCTACTGTGCAAAATGTTGCGGGTTCGATTGCCGACCGGAACGACTCTTTGTGTGATCCACAAATTGTTGTTTTGTGAGTCCGGTTGTGATGTATATTGTATATGTGAGATTGTATGTTTGTAAGCGCGCCCACGACACAGGAGAAAATACTAGTGTGTAAAGAAAATAAAATAGATTATGGTACTGACCCTCTGGTAGGTGAAGAGTAGCTGCACGACGGGCAGGGCGTACACCACCGCCACCGTCAGCGCGCCCCAGAAGTACCTGTGACATGCATGGAGACTTACAATCAATACCCGCAATACCAGAGGAGTAACAGCTGTGTTACCGACCCGTGGTGAAGCAAAATTTTTGTATCGTAAGTGAATGAGTGAGTAGGCAAGTGACTAAGTGAATGTGTGTATGTACGTGAGTAATGAGGGAATGAATGTGAGTGAGAGGCTAAATGAGTTAGTAAATGAATGAGTAAGTGCATAAATGAGTAAGTGTGTTAGTGAACAAGTAATTGAATGTTTTAATGGGTGAGTAAGATAGAGACTAATTAGGGACTTAGAGTCATCTCTAAGTCCCTAATTAGTCTCTAGAAATGAATGAGTGAGTCTGTGACTAAGTGAGTTGGTGAACAAGCAAATGAGTGAGTGAACGAGTAACTAAATAACTAGTAACTGATTGAGTATGTGGGTGATTGAATGAGTGCGTGACTACGTGAGAGAGCGAATGAGTGAATGAATGTATGTGTGAGAGAGAAAGAGTATATTTGTTATGTATGTATGAAGTAGCTCACCTGTCAGATCTCCGCGCCTGTGTCTCGGGCGGGGCGCGCGTCAGCTTCTGTACTGTCAGCGGATGCGAGTGGGACCATTTCTCCTCTGCGAAATACATTAATACATGGAAGAGTAGGTACAGAGGAATTGGGCAAAAAATTAGGCAATTTCTGCACAAGCACTTTTGATTTTGTCGTTTCGTCAATAATATGGGTTGCCGATTTAGCTGGCCACCAACAGATGGCGTTTATATAAATTTACTTTGCCAATAGGTCAAACTCTAGTAAGTAAATTTATTATTGACCTGACGCTACTTCAGCGCCATCTGACGGACAAATAAACATTAGCCATTATTACTTTCTTTCTTTCTTCTATTACTGTAACCCTGGGATGTGTCTATATGACATTATTGACTGACAGCTGACTATTGGCACGATGGCTGGGCAACCGGCTGCCGCGCAACGTGTCGCGGCTTCGATTCCCGGACGGAACAACTCTTTGTGTGATCCACAAATAGTTGTTCCGGGTATGTGAAATTGTATGTTTGTAAACGCACCCACGACATAGGAGACAATGCTTAAGTCTTGCAATGTTTTTCTTATTTATACTTGTCCAATAGTGGACAGTCTACTTACCCTCGATCCCAATATCATCATCCTCGCTATCGTCGAGTATCCGCGCAGTATCAGGGCCTGCGCGTGCGCAGCTAGTCTCGCCGGACGTCGAAGCATGCGGTATAGGCTCCGATTCCACTATAACTACTGTCTCTATTGAAGATACATTTTCAAGGTTCAAATTGATTTAATAACTTCAAGGGACTGATACAGGGTGATATTATTAAGATTTTGGACAAAAAACTTTGAATAATGAACACTACATAGTATAAAACAAAGTCGCTTTCTCTGTCCCTATATCCCTATGTACGCTTACATCTTTAAAACTACGCAACGGATTTTGATGTTTTACAATATTTTAATTTTATTGTATTGAAACGTCGAATTAATTTATTTTTGACCTAGGAAACTACCATAATATTGTCTGTTTAAAGGTCCGTCCATGAGGCACAGACTCTCTATGTTTAAGTAATACAAACTCACCGCTACATTTACAGGTGCAGGCGACCACGGCGACGATGACGAGCAGCGCCACGACGGCGACCAGCGCCAGCGTAACCAGAGCCCCCACCACGTACTCCCGGTACGACACCGTGGCTATCACGCGGAATCTGAGGACACCATCAACAACAATCCTTATAAATTGGAAAACTAAATCATTAAAAATGTCATAGAGACAAACTTAATCATAGGAAGTGTGGGAGAGCCATGCTTCGGCACGAATGGGTCGGCTCGACCGGAGTGATACCACGGCCTCACAGAAAACCGACGTGAAACAACCGAAACAACAGCGTTGTGTTTCGCCGTGTGAGTGAGGTTACTGGAGGCCCAATTTTTCCCCTCCCCCAATCTCTAAAAATAACTAAACTCTCCAAATCCCTAATTTCAAAAAGGTCAGCAACGCAGGCGGGCGCTGATTGCTTACCATCAGGTAATCCGTCTGCTCGTTTGCCGACCTATCATGTAAAAAAGCCGTTATAGAGAAGGAGGCGTATGCCTTCCAGAACAGCTAGGGAGTGGAATTCTTTTGCCGGAGACTGTGTTCCCGGAAGGGTGTAACCTGGGTGTCTTCCAGCCCAAGTGAATAGATTGCTTGTGGATATCGCGTGTTCCATCGTAGGTCACATCATCGAGCGCTACAAGCAGCTTACAAACCAGCCATTGCAAATTAAAAAAAAAGAGACCAAAAAAAGGAGTAGACCACCTTTACAAAATATTAAATTCGGAATAATGTGGTGGTGGCCCAGAGGTTAATGCGCCCGCTTCTCATGATGCTTCGAAACCTGGCAAGTACCAATGTGACTTTTTCCGAGTTGTATGTACTTTCTATGATTATTTACAGACACCGCTGACATACGGTGAAGGTAAACATCGTGAGGAAACCTGGACTTATAATTTCTAGTTATAAGTTTGAAATCGGCAACCCGCATTGAGCAAGCGTGGTGATTAATGCTCTAACCTTCTCCGTGTGAGAAGAGGCCTTTTATCAGCAGTGGGCACTTATAGGCTGATGATGATGATGATGAAATTCGGAATCAAATCCTTCATCCACTACCCTATCCCCAAATGGAAGGCAACGTACCTCCTCCTGGTATTATGGATGTCCATGCACGAAGCTGATTGCTTATCATCAGGAAATCTGACCACTTCTGGAAAAAACCTCTCTTCTCACACGGAGAAGATTTGAGCATTAATCACCACGATTGCTCTAGGCGGATTGGTGGTTTCAAACTTCTTATTAGAAATCACAAGTCTAGGTTTCCTCACGACGTTTTTCTTCACCGTATGTCAGTGGTGTCTAAATACAGAAAGTACAACGTCATTTTAAAAAGCAGGTAAACATCGTATGAACAATTTCTCCACGACTTACCTTTTTTTTGCTCTTGTCAGGGGAAAATCATCAAATGACTTCTCCCGCCCAAGTTGAGGCGAGAGAGAGTGTCAGACTCTTACTGACCAAAAACCCCCCCGACTCTACTCCTGTTTTAGGTCGAGGCTGCGGTGCCACATTGCGCTTACCCCGAAACTTCCTGGACTTACCTGAAGTTCTTCATCCGGTTCCCATCAGCGACAGTGTGCGGGGCGGCGCTGGTGGTGGTGCCCGAGCACTGCTGGTCGCTCTCCTTCACTATGAACACTATGTAGAAACCCGCCGGGAACATTGATTGCTGGAATAAGGGCCAGGTCTTAATTATCAAGGCGAGGTCCAGCCCTAACCCCCCCTCCCCCTGGAATGCCTACAACGCCAACTTGAATCTCTTTTGGAGTAGCATTGTTCAAGGTCAACACCGATTGACTTACCATGGTAATCATCGAATGGCTTCTTCCGCCAGAGGTAAAGCAAGAGGGAGTGTCAGACTCTTACTGACTAAAAACCCCCCATTCCTCGGGTGTACTCGGGTCTACAGTAGGGGTAATACTAGGGTGGTTTTTAATCAGTGAATGTTGAACTAAATCTATGTTATTATGCCTTATTATATTATAGATTGTAAATCTTCAATGCTACACAAGGTCATCGATTACTTCGGTAATTAACAATTGGTCCTGGCGTTGTTGAGTAATGCGCTCACCAAAAACATTTTTGAGTCAAGTATACTTAGTTTATCACTACACAGTATAAAACAAAGACAGACACACGCTTTCTCTGTCCCTATATCCCTATGTACGCTTGAATCTTTAAAACTACGCAACGGATTTTGATGCGGTTTTTTAATAGATAGAGTGATTGAAGAGGAAGGTTTATATGTATAATAACATCTATTAAATAGTGGAGAGATTTAGTATCAGCATTGCACCCGTGCGAGGCCGGAATATTATAAATCCAAACCAATATTATAAATGCGAAAGTAACTCTGTCTGTCTGTCTTTTCTTCACGCCTACACTTATGAACTGATTTCTGTGAAATTTGGTAGGTACAGACATAGTTTGGAACTCGAGAAAGGACATAGGATACTTTTAATACAAAAAATCTGCAGGAAGTCACTGTTACACGCGAACGGAGCGCGGGCAAAAGCTAGTAATAATATGAGATAGATAAAAACTAAAACCGAGCTTAAAATATAATCAACCATTGAGGGCATATTCAGATACTGTAATAAATTAATATTGGAGTCATCCTCTGTATGGTGACCCCCCAATCCCCTATCTGCTCCCCCCTCCCTCCAAACTTACCGTTAGCGTGATGCCCCCCTTGCTCATCATGGTGAGGTGGTACCCCTTGTACAGCACCTCCCTCTCACTGTCGAAGACTGGACACTGCAACAAACACAGTTCTATAAGTATCGGAGAACCAAGCTTCGGCAACAATGAGCAGGCTCGACAGAAGTGATACCACGGTTGTAAGTGACATCACTATTTAGTATGACTTATTAGTACCTACATCACTACATCTGTCATTGTCTGTCGACATCCTGTGGAACATTGACAATTGACAAAGTAACTGGTGCAGTGAGCTGTTCGACTGTATAAACTTAAGTAAATCTCTCTCTCTCTCTCTCTCTCTCTCTCTCTCTCTCTCTCTCTCTCTCTCTCTCTCTCTCTCTCTCTCTTTAACTCTGTCTATCTCTCTTTCTCTATCTCTAACTCAGTCTATCTCTCTTTCTCTATCTCTATCTCTCTCTGTCTATCTCTCTATCTCTCTCTCTCTGTCTGTCTCTCTTTCTCTCTCTCATATTCTCTGTCTCTATCTCTCGCTCTCTGTCTGTCTCTCTTTCTCTCTCTCTCTCTGTATTTCTGTCTCTCTCTCTCTCATTTTCTGTCTCCCTCTCTCTATCTCTCTCCCTCTCTCTCTCTCTCTGAAATCCAACACTTTATTCATATTACAACCACCATGGTCTAAAACGAAACTAGGGTAAAACAACGGCATTTACAGGACGGGAAGATCATCCAATGATTTGTGCCGCCCTGGGTGAAACGAGACAAAGATAGAGAGCCTGAATAACTAAACCCCCCTGTTCCTTCTCCTGCTTTGTGCCGAGGTCGCGGCGCCTCATTGCGCTTGCCCCGCAACCCCGGCTGAACATCAGCTCTATAGAGGCCCGTTTGTGGTGGTCTATTGGCTGTTTGAGGCGCGCGCGGAACGCTACGCTACAGGAGGCTTCAGTTAATTACTCCTGTTAATTAACTGATAAAATCTCAACTACTTTCAAGCTAAAACGGGTTTCAGTGGGGCCTCAAGAAGAACGAGCAAGAAATAATAATAGTTCTTTACCTATGAAATTGCCGTTCTGCAGTACTGGCCATTTCAAATCAAAATAGTTTTAAAAACATGGGATTCTTTTTCTGAAAGTAAGTAGTAGCATTTGTTTATTGATTAGTGTTACATTTTCATCGCATTTCAAATCAAAAAATTCGTTTAAATTTTTTCATGCAAAACGGCAATTTAATAGGTAAAGACCTCATTATTCATCCATCGGAATCTATTACTTTGGAACGAGCAAAAAGCTTCACTAGAGGACAGACTGACACGCATAAATTTGAACCTATTGAAATATATTTTCTTTTTCTTTTTTGCTTGACGTTCAAAAGTGCCCACTGTGGCCTAATAATTGAAATAAATAATTTTTGACTTTGACTTTGACATCAACTCTTCAATAAAATCAAGTTTAATATCAAAATCAAAGCAAAGTTATCTTTGTTAAAACACCAATAAAATACATTTTCCATCCCACCAAATGCGAGGTACCGAAATCTACAAAATTACAGAAGCAAAAATTTTCCTTATTTCTATAGATATACGGTTCAACTTACCGAGTTATTCTGTATGGAGACGGTGGCACAAATATCGTCATCGGAATCTATGATCAGAATTACACTCTTTGGTATTGTGTAGTTGAACCTGGAACAAAACGTTATAAAGAGGTCATCATCAGCCTATAAGTGCCCACTGCAGAGCAAAAGGCTCTCACACGGAGAAGGTTTGAGCATTAATCACCACGCTTGCTCAATGCCGGTAAGCGATTTCAAACTTATAATTAGAAATAATAAGTCCTTTTTTTGAAGCCCCATACAAGGATTGTCTCCTATGTCGTGGGTGCGTTTACAAACATACAATTTCACATACACATCACACCCAGACCCGGAACAACAATTTGTTGATCACACAAAGAGTTGTTCCGTGCGGGATCGAAGCCGCGACACGTTATGCAGCAGCTAGTTGCCCAGCCACCGCGCCAACCGTGCAGTCCTGGTTTCCTCACGATGTTTTTCTTCACCGTATATCAGATATCAGTGCCAAGTCAGGAATGAAAGACGGGGACCTAAACTTCCATGCCGCTATTGCTAACTATGATCCAAATATCATTTTCTGACTAACCTGGAGCTCATCTGTTTTGGTCCCTTCTCAGTGATGTTCCACGGATGCTGGTCGAACGAGAAGAAGTAGTACTTCGGCGAGCTCGGGGTCACGTTCAGGGACAACTCCTGAGGGTAATATAAACTGTATTAGGTAGGGAAACGAATCCAAGGACAGACCATCAAAGAAGTGCCGTAATAAATGTATTATACGGAGTGACACCACGGCGTCACAGAAAATAAGCGTGAAAGAGTCACAGCGTTGTGTTTCGCCGTGTGAGTGAGGTCACCGGAGGTCCATTCCTTCCCCAATTCCAAAACATCCAAATCCCCAAAAAGTCGGCAACGCACTCGTAACTCTTTAGTTGTTGTTAATGTCCATGGGCAGCTCAAATTGCTTACTATCAGGTAATCCGTCAACTCGTTTGCCGACCTATCACATAAAAAAAACCTATGAATTCAAAACATTTTAAATATCGTTACTGGTTTGTTTCTTATACAGAAAAACTCTTGATGTTGATCCACGAATAGTTTTTTTCAGTCAGGTTGTCTTTATATGTTTATTAATAAACAGTCATGGAACAGAAGATAATGGCGAGAACCATTTTAAAAAAGTCACGAAATAAAACAACAAAACACAATCAAAAATCACTTTTCTCACTGAGGAAATACAGTCGAATATAGACAGTACATACCTTATTGACGTCCACGTAAAAGTCGGTGACCCGACGTAGCTTGATATCGACGGAGACGTTCCGAGGGTTGGACGTGGTGATCTGGATCATCGGACGGTTCTCCGACTTAATGTCTGTAATAGGAACGCTAGCGCTGGTGAGGAACTGGTACGTATAGATGATAGAAGGATTATTTATGAAGGAAATGATTTAAATAGAGATGATGACAGGGTAAGAGTATGCAAAAAATCAATTTAGTTCGTCAGTTGGATCATCATCATCATCAGCCTAAAGTGCCCACTGCTGAGCAAAGGCCTCTTCTCACACGAAGAAGGTTAGAGCATTAATCACCACGCTTGCTCAATGCGGGTTGGAGATTTCAAACCTGTAAATAGAAATTATAAGTCCAGGTTTCCTCACGATGTTTACCTTCACCGTATATCAGTGGTGTCTAAATAATCGTAGAAAGTACATATAACTCGGAAAAAGTCACATTGGTACTTGCCAGGTTCGAACACACACCCTCATGCATAAGAATCGGGCTCCTTAACCTCCGGGCCACCATCACACCATCACAGTTGGATAATTAATAAGTATTATACACGTACTGTGCTTATAGACCTAGACTGCACGGAAAGACTCTAGTACTCTGTGAGTGTCGGGTTTTAGGTTGAGTCAATTTTGACTCTTCTACGGTAAACTTCGCCTGTGTGAATGTGTTGAGTTGTTCTCACCCGGTCCCGCGTCATGTGGGCAGAGAGTCCGCGCCATGCTGGAGAACAACAGCGCTCCACTCTGTGTCTGCACCAATAGCGGTAGCTCCCATGATGATACTCCTTCCAACAACATAAATGTACGATAGTAATCATAAATAATCGACACTTGAAATATCAGGCGTATCTTTTACGATTTGTCGAAAGCCTTTGATAACTTGATTATTTTAACTTAGTAGTATACACCTCCTTTTAATTGTGATATGTGCTATAATAAAATGCTAACCAACTTAAGAATAAAAAAGGGCAAAATATAACATCGAATGAAAGCTTGTGTCTTTAATTTAATAATCACTTTTTAATTTATTTCAATGGGTGTTCTTCAAGGTGAAATATTGGGTCCAACTCTTTTTTATAATAAGTATCATAACTAGAAAGTTTTATTCTGAAATGATGAATTATTAGCTCGATTTCTTTAAAATCAAAATGAAATAACTTTTTATTTCCGAATAAGACTTACCTTTTTGCTGAGTAGCGGTCACAAAGATAGGGTTGTCAACATTCAGTGTCTCATTGGTGGACACATGTACTCGAGTAGGGTAGCCATGCCACAATTCCGTCTCCTAATACAAAATAACAGTTAAATATAAACAAATTTAGCAAAAAATAATTTTATCATTTTGATTTGATATATTTTTTATTAAATAGAGAAATAAATTATTATAAAAATGAAAATAAATTCATTTGTATACTTGTTATTTCTTAATATCGACCGCGCCCAAAAACCATTTTATTTTTTTTACATGCAAATATATACAAAATCCTCATATCCCTCCCAAACCCAAAAACCTGGCAACACAACATGTCTTGTATTACCTCTGGTGTTGCCAGTGTCCCGAGGTGGCACTGATTGCTTACCATCAGGTCAGGATGAGTCAGCTTGTTTGCTACCCGATTCCATAGAAAATGATTGTATAACCTCCACTAACCTCATAGAAATCCATGATCTGTTCCGTTTCATTATTGACAATAAGTTCTATTCTCGTGTCATATTTGTATCTGTAATATAATAGTTATGTCGATTAAAACCACAGCATTCAAGTAATTAAGCTTATTAAGTAATCTGAGCTAAGTACCAAAACTTAACCTGAACAATGTGTACTGTCAAAAAAACTGATCTACCCACTACTTAGTCAAACTTATTCATATAGAGCTGATTTTTCAATGGTTAGATAAAAGTTACCTGAGGAATAATTATGATGCTGTCGCTGTGACATCACAATGTTTGTATAAGACAGAGACAGCAACAATTTTATTACTCAGAGATCATTTATCCGACTATTGAAAAATCAGCCCTTAATAATATTACACAAGTACCTACAAAAGTAATGTTACATTGGTATTGTTTTCACATCAACCTTTTTACTGTAGAATTGATTTGGTTATCTATGTGGCCTCAAAAGTTTGTTTAAAATATTACCCAAAGTTTATTACTACCCACATTTGTGTCCATATTTTAAGCTTCCTTCATTAAATTAATAATTTTTCCTTAAGTCTCATTATTCTTATTGAGCTACATTGAGAGTTCAATAGTTAATTATATCCGTAAGTATTGTTGACAACGAGAACGCGAAACATAAGAGTTTAAGCTTTTGTGTTGATTTATTTATGTGTATGACTCATATAAAAACAATAATTAAAGAGCAGAACAAAGGAAATAAATAAATTTATTAATAAAACATTTATCACAGTAGCTTCACTACTGAACGTTTCTAGAAAATAACTAAAAGATAACCGAACGGTCAATTAACATTTAACAGTTGGGGTATTCCCCCAGGATATAAAAGCTTTCTTCATTACGAAATTAATGTAATAGTATATTAAAACGCCACTACGTAACTTAATCAAGTTTTAAAATTAGAAGAAACATATAAAGTACTCTTTCAACACATTATTACTCAATTTATATTACAATTTCAAAACGTAAACAAAATAATCATGTTCAAATATACTTACGTATCATAAATGAAATTTCTTTTGTTCAGTGCGCTACTGTTTTGGTAGACACATAGCACTGTTGACATTAACAAACTACTCAAAATAATCCTAAACATATTTATTAATTGTGTTTTCATTTCTAATTATTTTACGTAAACAACATCGCACCTTCACTTTACAAGAATCACTGAAAATAATGGTTTTTATAATGTCAATATTGATAACAACTGAGGGTATGACTAATTTAAAGCTTTTAGAGTTTTACGTATGATTAAGAGATAGGTTGTTAGTTAAATTGTTTTATTTCATTAAAATATTATTTAGTTTTTTGCTAACCATATGCTTAAGTAAATAGCAATAATTAATATTTAGATAAAGTTTTCATATTTTGATTTCAAATTACGTGCCTCATAAAAACCCTTTACCGTCATTGACGTAAACTTGACATTGGCAATGAAAACTTCGTCCAGAAACTTGTTCTGAAAATCATCCTTTGACATTTCAAAATAAAAATTATTAAAGAAAGCTAAAAACACTTATCATTATTATTGTGACTAATGCAAACATTTTATTCAAACAAATTTTATCCAGAATGTGGAAGATAAGTAATATTTGAATTATGCAAGACACAGAATATAAGCAAATTCCTAAATTCGAAACGAACTATTTATTAATCGCTATCCAATTTAATAAGTTTTCATGGCATGCAATAACTTGTGAAAGGACCTACTGTACAACAGACACGATTTCAACCAGTCTGGGAATCAAACCTGAGATCGTGAGATTCTTGTGGCTTTCCTACATTTCTACGTGTAACATTGAAGACGTATGTTTTTGTTTAACAGCGGTGCTAAAGTAGAGTAGACTAATGATAAAAGTCCAATAACAAATTGTGTACTTAAACTGTTTTTGAAAAGAAATTAATTTATATTGACATGATTGTCGAACAAACGACCTAGTGCTTACAAGATGTTGATGAATAAAAATTTAGACGGAAGAATTTTATAATTTCCTGATAATAATAAATTTAGAATCAGAAGCAATTTTATTAGTCTTAAGTATTAGTACTGAATATAGATACATTTCCAGTATCAACATAGTTCTTATAATAAGCTTTTGATAAATTAATTGAGTGTAAACATAACTAGAAAAGCTACGTTATCTTTGTCTGATGAGTACAAACGGTCACACATTGTCACTCATAAAAATATATTGATTTTCACTTAAAACCAACTTGCGCAAAATCCCGTTGTCTGCCAATTTCTTTGAATATCGGAAAATGTTTCAATGAAAACAAAGATAATTTGAAATTTGTGTCCGATTCATAGCATGAAACATAACGTGAATTGAAAACTAGGTATGTTCTTAAAAAAATTACAAAGCATCATGCGTCAATCGAAGAATGTGTGGTGTCTTTAACGTGAATCGGAACAAACGTCTATGGATTGCTGTCGAACAAAGAGAACGAACCAATGATAAATAAATTGAAAATGGCGTCGTTTAGCCGACCAAATGAATCAAAGAATATATTTTTCAATTAATTCAATTTAGCAATTCAATATTTTACAATAAAACGTTGAAAACGAAAGAATTTGACTGATTTACGCGTGTTTTGCGGTGTTTATATTAGTGAGAAACGTGCAGAGTGCAAGTGAAACCAGAAATGGTGGTATATGTTTTGTCAGTGTGATAACATTAATGTTTACATGATTTCGGCGCGGGGCAACTTGGTAAAATGTTACCGACAGTGGAGGAGACGCGAGGGTACGACTTCCAGGACCCTGAGAATGTGGAGAAGTGGCGCGGCGTGTTTATAAATCCTCTTCGAAAGGTGAGCGAGGCGAAGTTTGTGTCATGACTTATTGTTTGCGAAATATCGATGGAATTGTCAATTAATGATATTATGCACAATATTCCAGTGCTTAGATTTACAAAAGAAAGCTTACTAGGCTCCTGTGGTGAGAATTACGGGCCAGATGTTGATAAGACTATGTTTTTGTGATAGTATTTGTAGTGGCCCTTGTGAAGGTCCCTGATAGCTTATCAAACGAAATCTGCACTAATTCTGATTGTAAACGATCGCATGGTCATCGTAACTCAACGTTATGCCGCGGGTTTACTCGTAATTTTGTTGAATAGTGCTAGTTAAACTTGTCTTATGTGCTTTGTATTTGATTTAAGGATATTGTGTGATGGAAGTATATAGTCGTGTAATATATAATTTAATTTATCAAAAATTAATATTTGATAAATTAAATTATAACCATATAAGAGGTAGTTAATACATGTTTAATCAATTTCAACATGATTATCATAACTATTATTCAATAATACTTGCTGCTTACTTAATTACTCAATAACAATAATATTATTTATCATTACACAACCTATTGGTGATATTACCCCTATTTTTTAGTAACAATAGACAGTCAAAAACTTAATTCTAGACTTCTAAGAACATTCTGATCATATGAATATGAGAGGTAACCTAACTCATATTAAGATTATTTGCATATTTAGATAAAAGTGTTCAAAAAAACTAAGTAGTATCAAGAAAATCAAAGTGTTTCTTTAAATAAATCCTTTTAAAGTACTTTAAAAACATTCAATAATTGAATACATATTGTTTTCACGTAATACAGTCCATACAGACAATATATAAGAAAAAATCAGCTGTATTATAATATTGCTTTATCACAAAAAATAATAACGACTAGAATTCAAAATAATTGGAATTTCAAATTAATATTGGACATTGATTGTAGCACAAAACTACTAGATATGTATTATTTCTGTGTAAACCTAAATTCTTTTTAAGAACAATCCAATAGCAAGAATTGGATTTTGAAATTAATTATTTCCTACTAGCGGTATAATAAAACAACAAGAATAAACCCACTTTTGTTAATTGTTTTCAAAATGAATATTTTTAAAGAAAGTTTATGACATTTGGCAAAATATTGTGACATCATTTAGTTACAAATTCATATAAAAGTATTTGTAATTTCAATAAAAGTAATTGAATTTATTTTGGTTGATATAAAATGTCAAAATAACTTGACTATCGGATTGAGGGTAATGAGGAACTGCAGCCTTGGCCCACACTTCTAGAGTAGGAGAAGGGAGAGTGGAGTTTTTAGATAGTAAGAGTCTGACACTTCCTCTCGGTATACCCTGGGTGGGAGAAGTAATTTGATGCTTTGCCCTCCACCAAAAATAATAATGAGGTAATGGCTAATGGAACCATTGAATGTAATTACAACTTTAATTGTATCTATGATTATTATCAACTCAATTTGTGACCAGATCAACATTATACTTGATTTTTGAAGCGCTCAGCACCAACCTCAAGTTATTTAGAAACTACAACATTGCATAATATTATCACCCTAGTAGTACATGTACATGTTTGGGAATTCTCATATATCATCATACTATTACTTAATTGTTATGTTACTAGGAAGTTAACAGACATCTGAGCATTAGAAATTTTGGAAAATTTTAAACCTTTATTTATTTCATTTGTAATGTGATAAAATACTATATCAATAACATCTTAATTAATAAATAAAATATTTTAAAAGCTTGAAACGTAGGCAGAAACAAAAAAAAATTCTTTTGTTTTGTTGTTATTCTTTTACACCAAAATAATTAAACAGATTTAAATGATATTCAACACAAATTGATTCTTGCAAAGACAATAACAAAAACAACAAAAAAAGAATTAGCAAAATTGGTCCAGGCGTTATTGAGTTATGCGCTTACCAAAATATTTCGCGATTCATTTTTATATTATAGATTTGCTACTTTCATGTGGTTCCACCCTCTGCTCAGCTCCTACAGATCTTAGCGTGATGTATAATAGCCTACAGCCTTCCTTGATAAATGGACTAACAAACACAAAAACAATCCAATTCAATTCCAACCAGTAGTTCCAGAGATTAGCAGGTTCAAACAAATAAACTCTACAGCTTTATAATATTATATAGTAAATATACCTAGTAATATAGTACATAGTATATAACACAGGTATATAAGTTTATATTACTATGTGTAGATTTAATTAATTAACTTTGACGTTTTACGAGGTACCTCGACCTGTTTCAAGTCACGCAGGGGCTCATGTTTATGTGACTAGCATGAAGCGACACATATCGCGGAAATGCTATCTCGACGAAAGTTACATTCGCGTGCATTCAAACAAACAAACTCATCAGCTTTATAATATTACTAAAATGGAAAGGTTGAAAACATTGTAGGTGCCGTTATTTAGTTACTAGCTCTTACCCTACACTACCTACCCTACTCTACCTACCCTACTCTATGTACCCTACTCTACCTACCCTACTCTACCTACCCTACTCTACCTACCCTACTCTACCTACCCTACTCTACCTACCCTACTCTACCTACCCTACTCTACCTACCCTACTCTACCTACCCTACTCTAACCCTACTCTACCTACCCTACTCTACTCTACCTACCCTACTCTACCTACCCTACTCTACCTACCCTACTCTACCTACCCTACTCTACCTACCCTACTCTACCTACCCTACTCTACCTACCCTACTCTACCTACCCTACTCTAGCTACCCTACTCTACCTACCCTACTCTACCTACCCTACTCTACCTACCCTACTCTACCTAACCTACTCTATCCTATCCTATGTCCTTCTTCTCCCTGCCGATTTTCAGCTTAATCGGTTCAGCCGTTCTTGAATTATAAGTGGAGTAACTAACACGACTTTCTTTTATATACATATATAGATTTTAAAGGCTTGTTATTATACCAGTAATGCCATATCCGAAAACTTTATTAATTATTATCTTATGCCTGTGACTTTGTCCCTATAAAATTTTGTTATTGCTATCACATGGAATTACTATATTCTTAACTTTAAAAAGATTATTTTTGTCTAAAATAAAAGTAGCATAACTTAATCCTTATTACATCAGCTATCTATCAATACAACTCAGGTAAAAATCAGTCCAGCAATTCCAAAGATTAACTGGAACAAACAGATAGACAGACAGACCAAATTTTAATTAAAAAAGGGCTATTTTGTGTATGTAAGTAAACAAAGTCGCTTTCTGTGTCCCTATATCCCTATGTACGTTTTAATCTTTAAAACTACTCAACGGATTTTGATGCGGTTTTTTAATAGTATTTTACACGTGTGTGAAGCTGGGGTTGGTCGCTGGTATATTATACATGAGTGTAGTAAACATCGCGTTCTTTCTTTTAAAAAAAAATGAGGTCACGGGCACATTAGGGCTTTCTCCTGTGTCGTGGGTGCATTTACAAACATAAATCACACCCAAACTCAGAACAACAATTTGTAGATAATATGAAGAATTGTTCCGTGCGGAATGCGAATCCGCGACACGTTGCGCGGCAGCCAGTTGCCCAACCGTGCAGTCGGACATCGGTTATTTCAATATTAAAATTAAAACAGACACTGTTTTAGACAAATTTTATTTATATGCGTAGAATATAGATATGATTGTTATTATAATTTGGTTGTTAAAGTTCCAGTAAATGAATAACATTGTACCTACGGAAGTTCCCTAACATTGTCAATTGTCCTTAGGTACTGGACCACGAGCACCCGACGCTGACGGCTGAGGAGAGCGCGCTGCAGTATGTGGAGTCACTCTGTCTTCGACTCCTCGCTATGCTCTGTGCCGTCCCGTCGCCGCTTACTGTCCAGGTACTTTATTTTTATTTTTATTTTACAAGTTTTAGGAAAACTCACAGCTGCTACATATATTATAATTACGCGGGTATTAACGCGATAAAAAATTATTTAAATTAGACTCCACGGTTGGCGCGGTGGCTGGGCAACTGGCTGCCGTGCAACGTGTCGCGGGTTCGATCCCCGCACGGAACAACTCTGTGTGATCCACAGATTGTTGTTCCGGGTCTGGGTGTAATGTGCATGTGAAATTGTATGTTTGTGAACGCACCCACGACACAGGAGAAAATCCTAAAGTGGGACAACGTTTTTTTTTAAAGAAAAGATATTATAATTACGCGGGTATTAACGCGATTAAATTAATTATTCAAATACCTTGGACTTTTTTTGTAAGGTGAAAATCATCAAATTACTTCTCCCGCCGCGAGAGGAGTGTCAGACTCTTACTGACTAAAAACTCCCCTGTTCCTTCTCCTGCTCTGGGCCGAGGTCGCGGTGACTCATTGCGCTTAACCCGCAACCCAAGTGGCACAAGTCGTTGTTAAATAATTAATTTTCGATTTAATACCCTCGTAATTATATGTTGTAAAAACGAAACGCGAAAGTTTAAAAGTTAGTAAACTCACCGCTGATCCAGTAGAGTATAGTTCGGTTGTAAATAAATAACATAAATAAAGCCAATTACGAGTTTTCACAGATATAAAAGTAGACATAGGTATATAATATAGGAAGTAGATAGAGAAAAAAACCTTTATCGAATACTAGCTACTCTCGCGCGGTTTCACCCACTGCACGGCTCCATTAGATCGTAGCGTGATGTTTTATAGCATATAGGAACATTGTAGCTATATATCAGTGAAAGAATTTTGGCAATCCGACCAGCGGTTCCAAAGATTACCCCCTACATAAAAACTTACAAATTTTACTTCTTTATAATATTAGTATAGTTTAATTACAAAGACTGAAAAATAAATCAACAATTAATCCATCTTCTCCAGGACGTGGAAGAAAGAGTGGCGCGCACATTCCCGACTCCGCTGGACAAGTGGGCCATAACAGAAGCCCGGGACCTCGTCACAATAAAACGACGGAAGCCCATGATCCCCTGCGACAAGCTCCACCAACTGCTGCAAAAGGAAGTTCTCCTCTACAAGATCGATGTGTCAGTGTCTCAGTTCATAACGGCTGTGCTGGAATTCATGAGTAGCGACATCTTGCGGCTGGCCGGGAACTATGTCAAGAAGATATCCCAGAAGTCTGGTTATGATACGATCACGTGTCGGGATATTAAGACTGCTATGTGCGCTGATAAGGTTAGTGTTTTCATATATGTATTTATATTCTTAACTAGCGGCCCGCCCCCGCTTCGCACGGGTCCAACTATCTCGCTATCAAAGGGTCAATTTTTACTAATCTTCCCCTTTACTTTTCTAATGTTTTCTTTGATAAGAACCTTCTCCTGACAATAACAAACACAACAAAAAAAAAAAAGAATTAGCAAAATTGGTCCAGGCGTTGTTGAGTTATGCGCTTACCAGCACATTTTGCGATCCATTTGATAATAAGACTGGAAGACCCTTGTGTACTCAGACTAAGATGAAGAAGTCTTAGTGTGGGAGAGCCATTCTTCGGAGCTCGTTAGCCGAGTGATCACTCAAAAAAATTACATTATTTTTGAAACAGACTTACGAGATTACCTGATGGTAAGCAATCGGCGTCACCCATGGACAGTAATAAATGCGTTATAAGCCTTTTCTGGGTAGTTAGGGATTTGTTGATTAAGAATATGTGGTGGGGAAGAATTGGGCCTCCGGTAACCTCACTCACACGGCGAAACACAACGCTGTGGTTGTTTCACGCCGGTTCTCTGTGAAGCCTTTGTATCACTCCAGTGTAGCTGGCCCAGAAGCGTGGCTTTCCAAAACTTTGTCCTGTTCCTTACTCTTTAACACCTGAACTTCCACCACTTCTTCTTTAAAATGACCAAATCTCTCTCTCCTCAGGTATTAATGGACATGTTCTACCAAGAGTCAGAACTGACGACATCAGAGACATCCGGCGGGGGCTCCGAGCGGCGCGGGCGTCGCGGGTCCCTCTCATACGCGGAGCTCGTGAGGGACCTACTCACTGATGAGAAGCATTTCCTAAGAGACCTGAATCTCATCATCCGCGTGTTTAAGGACGAGCTGGAGAAGATTTTGGACAAGGATAGTCGGGTGAGTGATTCTGTCCTTTCAGCAGAAATTTGCAAAAATACAAATCTGAAGTTCATCACACAAGAATATATGGACTAGGCCTTACATTTTATGTGCAATATTGTATAGCCCATAATTACATAAAATAATCACTCTCAAAATACTTTTTGAAAGGTGTTTTTTGAATTAAAATGTCTTATGAGTTTCTGTTAAATAATTAAATTCGCCAAACCCCAGGCGAACGCCGGCGTTCGCGTACATATTGTTCTTCTATTGTGTCTCGAATTCATCATCATCATCAGCCTATAATTGCCTACTGCTGAGGAAAGGCCTCTTCTTATACGGAGAAGGTTAGAGCATTAACGCTTTCTCAATGCGGGTTGGCGATGTTGGCTTATAAGTAGAAATTATAAGTCCAGGTTTCCTCACGATGTTTACCTTCACCGTATGTCAGTGGTGTCTAAATAATCATAGAAAGTACATGTAACTCGGAAAAAGTCGTATTGGTACTTGTCAGGTTTCGAACCCACGCCCTCATGCATCAGAAGCGGGTTCCTTAACCTCCGCCACCACGACATGTCTCGAATTACTATGATCGAAAGGCCAATAAGTCAAAAAGTCCACTATGCTAAAACTGAGTTTAAAATTGAAATAAAAGGACCTTCCGTACCCGTGTTTTGTGGGTGGAAAATCATCAAATGATTTCTCTCTCCCTGGATGGCTGTCAGACTCTTACTGACTAAAAATCACCCCGTTCCTTCTTCTTCTCCTTTTCCACACCCATCCGCGATACCTGTCCTCACGCTAGACTGATTCATAGACACACTTGTATAACCGTACCATAATATTTAATTGACAAGTTAATTATTTAATATATACTAGCTCTTACCCGCGGCGTCGCTCTCGTCATTTGACTACCTACCCTACTATACTTACCCCACCTACCGTACTCTACCTACCCTACTCTACCTACCCTACTCTACCTACCCTACTCTACCTACCCTACTCTACCTACCCTACTCTACCTACCCTACTCTACCTACCCTACTCTACCTGCCCTACTCTACCTACCCTACTCTACCCACCCTACACTTCCTACCCTACTCTATCTACCCTACTCTACCTACCCTACTCTACCTACCCTACTCTACCTACCCTACTCTACCTACCCTACTCTACCTACCCTACTCTACCTACCCTACTCTACCTACCCTACTCTACCTACCCTACTCTACCTACCCTACTCTACCTACCCTACTCTACCTACCCTACTCTACCTACCCTACTCTACCTACCCTACTCTACCTACCCTACTCTACCTACCCTACTCTACCCACCCTACACTTCCTACCCTACTCTATCTACCCTACTCTACCTACCCTACTCTACCTACCCTACTCTACCTACCCTACTCTACCTACCCTACTCTACCTACCCTACTCTACCTACCCTACTCTACCTACCCTACTCTACCTACCCTACTCTACCTACCCTACTCTACCTACCCTACTCTACCTACCCTACTCTACCTACCCTACTCTACCTACCCTACTCTACCTACCCTACTCTACCCACCCTACACTTCCTACCCTACTCTATCTACCCTACTCTACCTACCCTACTCTACCTACCCTACTCTACCTACCCTACTCTACCTACCCTACTCTACCTACCCTACTCTACCTACCCTACTCTACCTACCCTACTCTACCTACCCTACTCTACCTACCCTACTCTACCTACCCTACTCTACCTACCCTACTCTACCTACCCTACTCTACCCACCCTACACTTCCTACCCTACTCTACCTACCCTACTCTACCTACCTTACTTTACCTAATCAACTCTACCTACCCTACTTTACCTAACCTACTCTACCTACCCTACTCTACCTACCCCACTCTACCTAACCTACTCTACCTACCCTACTCTACCTACCCCACTCTACCTACCCTACTCTACCTACCCCACTCTACCTAACCTACTCTACCTACCCTACTCTACTTAACCTACTCTACCTACTCTATCCTATCCTATGTCCTTCTCCTGGCTCTAAACTACTTCCCTGCCAATTTTCAGCTAAATCGGTTCAGCCGTTCTTGAGTTATAAGTGGTGTAACTAACACGACTTTCTTTTATATATATAGATTTATAGTATTGTTAAGTTTTATAAAATGTAGTATTGTATATGTTTATATGGGACTCCGATGCCTGAAACAAATGGACAAGTAAAATAAAAATAATAACATTATTTGCAGGCGATATCCCTAATATTCGGCAACATCGTGGACATCTACGAGCTGACGGTCACGCTGCTTGGGAACCTCGAGGACGCCATGGAGATGTCACAGGACTCGCCCACTCCTTACATCGGAAGCTGCTTCGAAGGTATACTTTTAAGCCGGTCATCATCATCATCATCATCAGCCTATAAGTGCCCACTGCCGTGCAAAGGCCTCTTCTCACACGGAGAAGGTTTGAGCATTAATCACCACGCTTGCTCAAGCCGGATTGGCGATTTCAAACTTATAATTAGAAATTATAAGTCCAGGCTACCTCACGATGTTTTCCTTCACCGTATGTCAGTGGTGTCTAGAAAGAACATATAACTCGGAAAAAGTCACATTGGTACTTGCCAGGTTTTGAACCCGCACCCTCATGCATGAGAACCAGGCGCCTTAACCTCTGGGCCACCATAACATTAAGCCGGTAGTTTCAATCAATCAATAATTTCAGGCCCTATCAGAATACCAGCGCTGCAGTATCTTTTACCTTCTGGTGAATAATCGCAGCATATGCTAAGATAGTGGCCTTTTTGACCTCGCACAGGTCTTTTATTTTATCTTTTTTGTTGTTTTTTTTCTTTTTGTATAACTATACTAATATTATAAAGAGGTAATATTTGTAAGTTTGTATGTAGGGGGTAATCTTTGGAATCGCTCTGGTCGGATTGCCAAAATTCTGTCACTGATAGATAGCTACAATGTTCCTGAGTGCTATAGGATATAAAATATCACGCTACGATTAGATGGAGCCGAGCAGCAGGTGAAACCGCGCGAGAGTAGCTATTATAAAATGTAATTGTACTTGTATATATTTTCTGTGCGAGTCTCACATAAATGGTTTTTTCTTTCTTTCTATTTATAATTTGTATTTTTTTGTTTACTGGTAGTATTTTTTTATGTGATAGGACTCTTAACTACCAAAATATCACGATGGTATTTGTTACAGAGCTAGCGGAAGTCGAGGAGTTCCGCGCGTACGTCAGGTACGCGAATATAGTGACGCGCAAGGAGTCCAGGGATGCTCTGCAAGCCATCGTTGACGATCCAGTCGTGAGTACCCTCATTTTTTGTAAAAGGTCTGCGAAACGAGCAGACGGATTACTTGATGGTAAGCAATCAGCGACGCCCGCAACAATGGAGGAGTTACAAGTGCCGATCTTTTGGGGTGCAGGGATTTGGAGATTTTGGGATTGGGTAACCTCACTCACACGGCGAAACACAAGGCTGTGATTGTTTCACACCGGTTTTCTGTAAGGCCGTGGTATTACTCCGGTCGAGTCGACCCATTCGTGCTGAAGCTTGGCTCTCCCACGCATACACTCGGTTTCTGAAAGGTTTAAATTAACTAATCTCCTGTTAAATCTCTTGTCAAGTCATCTGATTGGTTGTTGATAATTCAGTCAACCAATCAGATGACTTGACAAGAGATTAAATTGATTTTAACATTGATCGGTCTTTCGGAAACCGGGTGTTGATTATTAACACGATTTTCTATTTTGCTAACAAGATACTTACCTACCCGTATATTCTTTCAGCTATCAGAACGCCTAGATACAGCCGGCCACGGGTTCCGTTTAGCAGTGAAGTACTACCTGCCGAAGCTACTCCTGGCCCCCGTGGCTCATGTCTTCCTATACCACAACTACGTGCTGGCGTTACTCCAGATCGCACCAGCTTCCGAAGACCGGGAGAGCTTCAAACAGGTCAGAATAAGCTTAAGTTATTATAGTTATTCGGGTGTCAAAATGTGATTAATGACCCCATTGAAGAGAGAATGGGGGTCATTAGACATATGACAGTTGTTTTGCGTATAATTAGATCTAAAATGTAACTTTGATTCTTGTTCATGAACTGTTATACACCGTGACTTTTTAGTCGTCTTACAAAGCAGCCCAGTTCATGTATCCAATGACAAGCAAAGGTTCATATAAAAATAAATGACATTTAAATTAATTAAAAATAAAAATATTATTCATTATTATGACGCATGGCGTAGTTTTAGAAACACTCTGTAAGCTACAGTAAGAGTGACCTTCACCTAATTTCAAGTGAAATGGGCGGGGCATCGCGTTCGCCGACGTTGTCTAAGGATAGCTTTAGACAATCTGATTGGACAACAGTCCACATGGACTATGCTAGATTGGTTTGCGATATTTTGTCTCGTAGAAAATGGAGATGGAGGATATTCTACAGTTTGGTAAGTAAAGATTTTTAACAGGGTGTTTCATACTTCTAATGTTTTATTAATATTTTTCGTACCTATTATCTTAATTAATGATAAAAAATAATAATCGCGCCTAGAGTTATTTTATGTCCGATACATTAAGTGGACAACTTTTGTAAGACGACTAAAAAGTCACGGTGTATATAACAAAGTTTTTGCTCCATTACCAGTATTGATTTATACATATATGTAAATATTTAATATGCCTATAATGGGTCTGCTCAATAGCGTTTTTCGGGAATAAATCAAAACAATAAAGAAACTAGGAGAAACTAACTACTTCCGTTAAATTGTATTAAAAAACATTATTATTTTTGTTTTGTTTTTGGCCCTCTTTATTACTTTTATTATTGTTTATATCAACGCATTATTCCCTCTTTTAAAACTATATGTATTTTCTAATTTTTATCAAGTTCCATTTTGGTCATGGCGAAAGTATGGCTCATTAGGACAGTATTATAAGATAAATTAAAAACTTAACACATTAACAGCGCCGTAAAACGAATAAATATACTAAATAATTAACACACTAACAAAAACAGACCGTTTGGTTGGTCCAGGCGCTGTCTAAAGTGATATTCTATCAGCACCGTGTTATTACAGATATCTCCTGCGTCTGAAGACAGGGAGAGCTTTAAACAGGTCAGTGGGGTCATATGTCATTAAAAACTTACACTATACTAGACCCCAGTTCAACATATTTAAAGTACTCAATACTCAATATTCAATAGTATATACTCAAATACTAAAAAATCAAGAGTGATTCTCTGATAGTTTCTGATATTTTTATCGTGTCATGACTCATTGGGGTCATTAGACATAATCCAGTATTGTGTCATTTGCAATGGATCGTACTGGTATTATGAATTGAGTCATTTTGCGTTGACTATATACTTAAATGTTACGTTTGCCGTTAGGCGATAGCATTTGGCTGTGTTGAAGAGAGCTGTTTTTGATGATTTTTAATTTTTAAACCCTTTCTTACGTTACTCCACTTTAGTACAATACCTAATAATGTTTTGATTTCCTTTTTTCCTTGGAAATTGTTTTTTTTCCGAAAAATTATTCAAATTTATGACTTTATCTATCTCAGTTTTACTTGACTTAATAGATTGTACGTTTCAAACAATGACTACTGGCATTTTAGTAAGGTTGCCCTTTCTGATACTTCCTGTAGGATATTAATTAGCTTGAATGTATATATTGATAGTTTATATTGACGCCAGGTTGAGTGCAACTTGCATCCGATAAAGAAGTTACTCATCAAGGCGCTGGGAAATGGACCGAAACTGTGAGTATATTGTTACTTATAGTATTATTGTGTGGTAATGAAAAGAAAAACAAGATTATGAGATATTAAGGTTTAGTTGGAATAAATTATTTTGATTTTGACTTTGACTTACTATAATAATATTATACTATGTTATACACAGTGACGCGACACTCCGTATGGCTCACCGTGCTCGCCGCCAGCTCGCCATAGAGAAGTGTAACGAGCTCGCGCGCATTGTTGACAACTGGGACGTCAGGGACATCGGGCAGTGCTGTAATGAGTTTATTCGAGGTAAGACTTTTGGGACGAATTGTTTTAGAAATATATTTAACTAGCTCTTACCCGCGGCGTCGCTCCCGTCATTTGACTACCTACCCTAGCCTACTTTACCTACGTACCCTACCTACCCCACTCTACCTACCCTACCCTACTCTACCTACCCTACCTACCCCACTCTACCTACCCTACCCTACTCTACCTACCTACCTACCCTACTCTACCTACCCTACCTACCCCACTCTACCTACCCTACCTACCCTACTCTACCTACCCCACTCTACCTACCCTAGTCTACCTACCCTACTCTACCTACCCTACTCTACCTACCCTACTCTACCTACCCTACTCTACCTACCCTACTCTACCTACCCTACTCTACCTACCCTACTCTACCTACCCTACTCTACCTACCCTACTCTACCTACGCTGCTCTACCTACCCTACCCTAACCTACCCTACTCTAACTACCCTACTATTCCTACCCTACTCTACCTACCCTACTCTACCTACCCTACTCTACCTACCCTACTCTACCTACCCTACTCTACCTACCCTACTCTACCTACCCTACTCTACCTACCCTACACTACCTACTCCATCCTATCCTATGTCCTTCTCCTGGCTCTAAACTACCTCCCTGCCAATTTTCAGCTAAATCGGTTCAGCCGTTCTTGATTTATAAGTGGAGTAACTAACACGACTTTCTTTTATATATATAGATTTTGAGTGTCAGTCAGACACTATCAAAGTAATAGTTTCTCTAAAATAATTTTATTCAAATTACATATTAATATGAACTAATTTAGTACGTACAATCCACAGAGGACACGCTCTCGAAGATAGGCCCGGGCAAGCGTATAGCGGAGCGGCGCGCGTACTTGTTCGACGGACTCCTACTTCTCTGCAAACCTATAACTAGCATTGTAAGTATTGCTTTATTACTTTATGGGTCGGGAAAAGTGTTATTGGGTATTTTTTTTAAATCAGGCTCGACGGGGCTGATACCACGATCTCACAGAATAAAGGCGCGTAATAATCACAACGTTGTTTCGCCGACCACCCCTATCCTTCCAATCCCTAAATCTCGAATACTGCTTATCCCCAAAAGGTCGGTAACGCACTAGTTCCTTGGGTGTTGCAATCCGGTGTTATAACCACAGCGTTATTTAGCCGCCTTCCCTTCATCATTCCAATCTCTAAATCCCCAAAACCTATCTACCGTAAAAGGCTAGCAACGCACTTTTAGGGTGTCCATAAGCAGCACTGACAGCTTACCATCAGGTAATTTGGCTCGTTTGCCGCCGTGTTACATAAAAAAAGTTTTGATTTTGAATAATGTTACCGTGTTTTTATCACCAAGTGCCGCTAATGTAGCATGATGAAGTCATGTTCATCTAATTGATACCTAGAGAAAAACTATTGGATGTTCATATTTCAACAACTACACTGCTTGGCCAAGTAGAACCATATTCTACTTTAGCGCCATCTAGTGGGCAAAATTTTAATTTGGTATATGTATGTAAATTTTAATGGTGTATAATAAATGGTCGGTAATTGAGCCGACGGATTACCTAATTGTAAGCAATGGATGCCGCCCATGTAAACCTGGAACATGCGAGGAATTCAAGTGCGTCGTCGGCCTTTTAGTGATTAAGGTTTCAAACAAGTCCTCCAATAACCTCACTCACACGTCAAAACACAACTCTGTAGTTGTTTCACGCCGCTTTTCTTTAAAAAGCTCGTGGTATCGCTGCAGTCGAGTAGAATCACAGCTTTCCCAAAATTCTGATATCTTCCTATAAAATTTATTATCTCACACCCTCAATGCCTAACAGCAAGTAATATCGTTCCACAGGTAGTAAACAGTGGAGGCAGTGGGGGCGCGGGTGGGGGGGCGCAGCAACTCAAGCTCAAGGAGAAACTCCACATCCGGAAACTCGAGCTCGTCGACAGACCCGACACTGACGGTAAGTAGAGGCTTACTGATTGATAGATTTATGGTGTATTGTTGTTTGTTTGTTGCTTATAAAAGTGATTGGTGAATAGAATACATTGTCGCCACCGCTGCTCTTCACGCGGGTGTGTCCTATGAGGAAGTACATGTTTTACAGAGATCGATAAGATAATAGTTTATTTGCATGAATATGAGTAAAAATTGTTGACAGGTTTTATGTTTATATTCCATCACATTCGACCGCACTGGTATGCGAAATTAAGTACTATATACTATAACTATACAAATTACATGTGTTTATTCTAAAAAAAATCGAGTAGTACCTCTCACTGATAAATACGCACTAATCTCTACATCGTAATGCAATCTATGACAATGTAACAAGAACCTTTTTATTGTTTTTAAAAATTCTATGTTTTCTTTTGTAATTTAACTTGTATGAAATACAAAAGAAATAATAGAATTTTTCAAAGTTATTTGTGTATATGTCCACGTAAAAGAGACCCCAGGTTGTGACTATTGACCCCAATCTTCAGAATCTAGTACTGAATGTAATCCAAAATTATTATTTCCAGAGGGCCGTCACATGGTGGAGCTATGTCCACGCGTGGGACCCTGCGTGGTGCTGGCCTGTGCCTCCTGTGCTGAGAAGAGGAACTGGATGTGCGATCTCGTCATGCTCAATACTAAACCAATGCTCGATCGATTTCTGGACAGGTTCGATATTTTTTTTTTTACTAGCTTTTACCCGTTTCGCTTCCGTTATTTGACTACCTATACTACTCTACCTTAGTTTTCCTCTGAGTTTGTTTCGGCATTTCTTCTCAGAGTAGTCAGATAGGTAATGCCGGCTTCATCTAGTTTTTCACATATGAATTGACGTGTAAAAGTGCCGTTTTATGGCCTATTAGCAAAAATAAATTCATTGTTTCATTGTTTCATTGTTTCATAGTAACCTACTTACATTACCTACTTTGACTATTGGTCGATTGGTCGTAAGTATGACTGCCAGGCAATCAATGCGCTCTCCTATCCCTCCTTAGTCCTTAAATGTCCAAAACCCCTTATCTCCAAAAGCCACTTGCAACCTTTAGTTTTGCGGAAATCTGCAAATGGAATGGCCGGTGCCGATTGCTTACCATCAGGTAATCCAATGCTCATAAAAAGGGTCCCATAAAAATATACATATTTTTTTTTAAACAACAAATTCCTTAGTCATTTGACAAGCCAAAACCGAAACAAACTAATAATGACCTCAAATTAACCTCCACAGCATCCTCCTCGACCTAGAACGACGTCATCCCCTAAAGCTGCCCCCCGCGTCGCTGTACCGCTTCGCAGTGCCGGACTCCCCCGACAACATCCTCCTGGAGGACAACTCGGCGGCCCGTCACCATGGCAACGCCGTGCCTCTCATCAAGGTAAACTACCCCAGCATCACCACGCTAGCTTGCATAGCTACGCGCTTGGTGACTGGATGGGGTCTTGATTTTAATGACTTATATGTTTAATGACCCCCGTGTTACATTTTTGGGCAAAATATTTTTGAATTTAATGGTTTTATTAAAGATGTTTTCAAAATTGCCTATTTTTAGTAAACGGGCGTTTTAATAACATATTAATAATATTGTTTAATATAATAAATACATCCTAAAGCTTACTATATCTTCGTATAAGTTGGGGTCTTGTCTTGAATGACTAATGTGTTTAATGACCCCTGATCTGATCTTCTTGCGTGAAAAATCGTTGATAGTTAGTTTTTTTAACGAATATATTTTATTACTTGCAGAAATATCTGTTTTATCTAAACGGGGGTTTTTAAACATATTACTGATATTAGTCTATGTGAGAATTAAGCTTATAGCTTACTTAAACTTTATATAAGGCATTTGTTGATAGCGACGCGTGTGTTAGAAATACAAATTCGGTTTAAATTTTTAAAGTCAGTGTACCTGGTTTTATTTTATATAAAGAAATGATATTTATATAATACGATTTTATTCGCCATAAATAAATATTTTTTTTATCTCACAATACTATAAAAAACATTCAAGAAATGTACATTATCTATAGTATTGTTAATAAACCTCTTTTTTAGTTTTTCTAAAATAGATAACTTTCTAAAAATGTGTGTCCGAATACAGATAAAAACTTACTCTATAATATTCTTTTTTTGACTCAAATTTCCATTTTCGGTACTTGGTAGATATTTTTTTAATAGGCAGTAACGATTTTTTTATTGATTATTTTTCTAACGTTTCAATTTGTATTCCAATTACGTCTCATCCAATGGAATTGCATTAGTTCATACAGTTGCTATGCGATATTTTTGCTGGCGTTTGCTTTATATAGGCACAATTTCACCAGGCTAAACTTTGCTCTATTTTTTTTATTAGAGAATGCTTACGGACTAATTACTTTAATTTCAATAAGGGGTAACATATTAATATCAACCTCAAATTGCCAATAACAAACCACCACAGATAAATTTCGAGTTTTGAGTTTGATTAATAAGTTTAATTGTCAATTAAGGTTACAATTCTTACACCCGGTTTCCGAGTGGCCGATCAATGTTAAAATCAATTTAATCTCTTGTCAAGTCATCTGATTGGTTGACTGAATTATCAACAACCAATCAGATGACTTGACAAGAGATTTGACATCTAGTTAGTTGATTTTAACATTGATCGGGCTTCCGGAAACCGGGCATTAGTGTACTACTCTGTACTAATAAGATAAAGCTTTTTATGAAGGTCGGTTTGTTTGTTTGAACGCACTTATGTCTGCAACTTCTTTTTCGATTGACAGTTACTTTACTGTTGGATAGCTAATTTACTGCGGAAGGCAGGAACGCGGGGTAAAAAAATTTACGCTATAATCAATAGACTTCGGGTAGAGGGATCTATGTAAAACAAAGTTATTAGTTTTTTTATTATCTTTACCTAAGTAACAATGATTTTTTTATGGATTATAAAAAGTAAACAAATATGAACTCTATTTCGTCTATATAAAGCTGGTGGAATTAGGTCTTAAATGCACAGCGAATGTCAAAAGTTGTATTATTGTTTCGTATCCGCTTGCCTAAAACGTCACGTGTAAACATAACACTTTAAACTGAACGACTATGTTAATCTATACGTATATTATGACAAGAAAATTTGTTTGTTTGTGTTAAAAAGTCTCTTAAACTACTTGACCGATTTGATAAATTTTTTGACTATTGGTAATCTCCGGTTTTATATACCTAACGCGAGTGAAACCACGGGGCTCAATCTGGTAATGATATAACATATTTACAAGGAATTCTTCGATTTTTCTTCAAACGTAGCGTATAACAACGGTCTATCTAATTCCACGCTACTCAGGTTTAAATTCGGTGCTATCTCTCTATCTTTCTAAATGAAGAAAGAGATAGCAATAAAACTCTTGCTTTTAATATATGTAATGAATTATACATCCTCCCCAGATTGTTTTTAAGTCCGTGGTTTATAATATGTTATCTACATGCCATTAATATTTTTATTTGAAAGAAATTATAGTTATTTAAACATGATATTGATGATATTTTTAACGGTTTATGTTCGCATACCTAATCACGTCAACTATAATCTTTTGACGTCTTTTGAAGACGTTTAGTAGATTTCAATTATACACATATCCGTGAATGATTACTTTTGAACTATTATTTTGCTATTAATCCTACTTCTTAAGAAATATCTAAACTTACCGACATATATTAGAATAAATGCCACTTTTCATTGTTATTTTTTTTAAACGTTACTCCACATTCGGATTTTCTCCTGTATCGTGGGTGCTGTTACAAACATACAATTTCACATACACATCACACCCAGACCCGGAACAACAATTAGTGGATCACACAAAGAGTTGTTCCGTGCGGGAATCGACTCCGCGACACGTTGCACGGCAGCCAGTTTGCCCAGCCACCGCACCAACCGTGCAGTCATTATATTATATTTTATGAAACAAGAACGGGTTGACCTATCCAATCCAAATGTTTAGGCTTTGTTCATACAACTACTATTAAGTAGATGGTTTATGTGAAGTTTGCAAAAAATCTGATTCTTCATCTATTACTTCGCGAAGCCCGTACTAGGCTACTAAAAAGTTTTTATTTTATGGAGATTGAATTTATTATCTTTGTAACACCATGGTGACAAATATTAAAACATTATTCATATATTAATAGGGTATTTATACTTATAGAAGTACTTTATTAGACTTATGATTTCATATGTGTTTAAGATTAAATATAAAACTAAATACTGATACAGATACTCTGAGTCCTTAATTAGGAGGGTAGGTAGAGTAAGGTAATCATAGATCTAGACAAGTCTAGATCTAGTTAGGACGTTTCGTGCAGGAAGCACGGGCGAGCTCGTGCGGGTGTCTGTGCGTCCGTTTCCGACGCCGCTGCTGTTGCCGAGGAGACCAGCTCGAGGAGTAGCAGCCCGACGGGCACTCTACACCCGCTACAAGAACACCACCAAGTATCTTAACATACTAACAGCGCTTTGTTATAAGCCCCTCTGACAAGTTTTGTGCTCGAAACGTTTCGGATGGGAAATGTAATGAATGTTCACGAGTGATCGGGTTTGTTATATTTCGATGTTTCCACGAACGTTATTGAAATAATGTACATATCAAACTTTTGGAGTAAGTGAAATATAACATTTTCCGATCATTAAAAATTAAATGTGTGGTTTGTCAAAGATTTTTTTTGTGTACTTGTCGAACAAGCTTTTTCTAGAATTTTAGATTCCTAGGTACTTAGGACATCAAAAAGCTACGCAATCAATCATCTCAGTTACCAATTTAGAATTATTTTGTCCTTAACAGGCATTTTACTATACAAATACATTTTACTCTAACACCCGGTTTCCGAAAGGTCGATCAATGTTAAAATCAATTTCTTTCAAGTCATCTGATTGGTTGACTAAATTATCAACAACCAATCAGATGACTTGACAAGAGATTTCACAGGAGATTACTTAATTTTAGCGTTGACAAGCCTTTCAGAAACCGGGTGTAAATGTGGTAGAGCCATGCTTCGGCACGAATGGGTCCTCCTTCAATCCATCCTTAAATCTTTAATAACCTACGAGAGGCCGCACTTATAGTAACACCTTTGGTATTACGAATGTCCATGGGCGGCGCTGATTGCAAACCACCATAAAAAAATATTATGTTTAATAATCCAATACGTATGTATCTAGAGTAGCAAAATTGCATAAAAAGTATAAAAAAAATCTTTGACAAAACGTATAAAAAAAAATCCAAAATGGCATAACAGTGAGTTGAATTATTGTGATTGCAATGTGCCGAATGTAATGGATAGTGAGATTTATAATATATACTTCTTAATACATAGTACATTATATACATGTACCAGTTTTATATAGGGTGACTGGTAATTAATGACCGATATATTTAAATACGTCATTATACTCATGATGACGAACAACTTTCCCAAATAAACATATTTTCTACACTTACTCATGTTTTATTTTTAATACTACTTATATCTATACTAATATTATAAAGAGGTAAAATTTGTAAGTTTGTATGTAGGGGGTAATCTTTGGAACCGCTGGTCGGATTGCCAAAATTCTTTCACTGATAGATAGCTACAATGTTCCTGAGTGCTATAGGCTATAAAACATCACGCTACGATCAAATGGAGCTGAGCAGCGGGTGAAAGCGCGCGAGTGTTGCTATACTTATATAACATCGCGCGCCCGCCGTGCGTCGCTCGATCAGCTGTTACCGGCGAGGCCCCGCGCGACCTCGTTTGAACTTTACACAGTAATGTTGCTATAGTAAAACAATTAAAAAAAAAACTATTGAGTATAGAAAAATAGTTTCTTTGGTAAAGTTGTTTGCTATCATGAGTGCAATAACGGGTTTGAATATATCTGTGTCAATAATTACCAGTCACCTTATATTATATTATATATTTATATGTACTTTAAAGTTAAGTTACTTATAATTTTTCATGTATGTATCTGACAGGGTGATTTTGTGGATTAGGCGTTTACCATAACTCTGCTATGCTTTATTTTGTTTATAGCCAAGTTTATTATGTGACATCTCTCTTACTAAGTTCGCAAAATTTTTGAAGCGTGTTTTTTAGTTTAAGGTCCAATATGATTATTGACCCCAATAATACTAGTTGGGGTCATTAGTCATTTAAATTTTGACCCCTTGCAAGAAAAAAGTTTTAAATGAATTTATCAAATATCAAACTATAATATTATAAAACAGAGCATCGCAGAGTCTGACATTTTAAAAGATGTAAAATTATTAATTTTTCGCCTAAAAACGATTCCCTCTGTCATTTAACTAGGGTTTATTAAAAGGTGCCTGTAAATATCGCTCATTTAGCCGATCGACATACTAACCAACTAACATTCAATAATATAGATATTTTTACTAATTACTCTATGATAGAATCACATACCTTTATGAAAAATTAAATGTCTATACGAGTGATTTTAATATTGTAAGCCAGGGCAAAATGTTTCATGTTTTGTTTTGTAATCAGTCAGTGTATTGTATACGTGAGCGAATGATGTTAACAAAAAATATTTTGTCGGTAAAATTTTTAGATTGATAAAAAATATCATTGTGAAACGGTCAACACATGGGTCTAGAAAATTCCAATATTGCTTTCGCGCTAATCCGATCCGAATCAGAGAAAAGTTGAACAAACTATTTTAATTTCTTACAACTTAATAATAGTCCTTTAATTTCGTCCCATTTTATTTTAATTCTGACGCAGTACGCAAGCGTTAATCAAAA